CCATGTCTCCATCACCCAGCCAGGGTGGCAGTGCCCAGTGTGTCCTGCCTGTCCCCAGGGTGACATGCCACATCAGGGTGACAGTGCCCAGCACTCACCCAGCCTGTCCAGGAGCTCCTCCCGGCTCAGCACATCCATGTTGGTGTCCCGGAGCAGGGCTGGCTCCCGGAGCCGTGCCAGGCTGTCCCGCAGGTGCCCGTTCTCGGCCTCCAGGCTGGCGACGCGGCGGCGCAGGCACAGCAGGTCCCCCGCCATCCTCTGCAGTGCCAGGCGGTACCTGGCAACCCCCTGAGCCCAGACAGAGCCCAGACAGAGCCTGGCACCGCTGGACAGGCAGGGATGGGCCCCTGGATCCCGGGGATTGGCTCGGGATGAGGGTCAGACACAACATGGAGAGCGTCCAGATTGTCCCTGGCTCTTGTCACCATCCATCCTCTTCTCCATCTTCTTATCCATCATCCATCCATCATCCATCATCCATCCATCCATCATCCATCATCCATCATCCATCCATCATCCATCATCCATCATCCATCATCCATCCATCATCCATCATCCATCATCCATCATCCATCCATCATCCATCCATCATCGCTGTCCCCTCTCCAGGTGTCCCCATGTCACTCACCGTCTCCTGTGGCTCTCCAATGCTCTCCTGGGAACTGCCAGGTAAAAACAGGAATGATGGAGCAGGAAGCCATTGCAGGGAGGAATGGCTCCTCCCTCCATGGACATTCCCGTACCTCTGGGCTGGCTCCAGTCCCAGCAGGACAATGTCCATGGCATCCGGGGCTGGCAGGGACATCCTGGCCTGGCACAGGGGACACCGAGGGACCGGGAGCATGAGGGGCAGGATGAGGGGCAGGACGTCCCATTCCTAATCCCAATGTGTCCCATTCCTGATCCTGTCCCATTCCCAGTCTCGGTGTGTCCCATTCCCAATGTTGTCCCATTCCTGATCCCAGTGTGTCCCATTCCTGATTCTGCTCGTTCCCATTCCCAGCTGTCCCGTTCCCAATCCTGCCCTGTCCCATTCCCAATCCCAGCCTGCTCCATTCTTGATCCCAGCTGTCCCATTCTTATTCCTGACCAGTCCCATTCCCATTCCTGTTCCCATTCCTGATCCTGGCTGTCCCATTCCAAATCCCAGTGTGTCCCATTCCCATTCCCCATTCCTGACCTGTTCCATTCCCATTCCCACCCCACACCTATTTCCATTCCCTATTCCCATTTCCCATTCCCATTCCCGTCCCCATTCCCATTCCCATTTCCCACTCCCACTCCCACTCCCATTCCCCATTCCCCATCCCAGCCCTGCCCCCGGGGGTTGCCAGGCTCCCGCTATCCCAAACAAACCCTTCCCAAACAATTCCCTGGAATCCCAGGAATTCCGGGGACTCACGGCTGTGCCTGGGGGTTGCAGAGGGAGCAAAAGAAGAAAATCCGCTTTTCCCGTTTTTTGTTTTTTTTTTTCTGGAGAAGGGATCCGCGGCTCCCGGGAGTTGTTGCTACAACAGAACCTGCCCTTGGCAACTCCTCCCGGGAGCGGCTCCGATCCCAAAACCCCGCGCGGGGAATTCCCCAAATCACGTGTCATTCCCAAAAAACACGGGGAATCCCAAAATCCACATGAGGGAATTCCCAGAGATCCCAAAATGCACACAGGGCAATCCCAGGTCATTCCAAAATCCACTCTAGGGGAATTCCCGGGTATCCCAAAATCCATATGAGGGAAATTTCTGGGGTCTCAAAATCCGCATGGAAAAATTCCAGGGACACGAAGAGGACCCCAAAATCCACACAGGGGAATTCCAGGGATCCCAAAATCCACACGGAAAAATTGCAGAAACACCCAGGGGATCCCAAAATCGACATGGATGAATTCCAGGGGATCCCAAAATCCACATGGGGGAATTCCAGGCGAACCCAGGGGATCCAAAAATTCACATGAGGGAATTCCTGGGGATCCCAAAATCCACATAGGGGAAATTCCTGAGGATCCCAAAATCCACGGGAAAATTCTTGGGGGCACCCAGGGGATCCCAAAATCCGCATGAAAAAATTCCTGGGGATCCCCAAATCCACATGGGTAAATTCCAGGGGTCCCAAAATCCACACGTGGGATTTCCAGGTGATCCCAAAATCCACTTAAGGGAATTCCCGGGGATCCCAAAATCCTCATGAGGAAATTCCAGGGGCACCCAGGGGATCCCAAAAATCCACTCGGGGGAATTTCAAGAGATCCCAAAATCCACACGGATGAATTCCAGGTGATCCCAAAACCTCCATGTGGGATTTCCAGGTGATCCCAAAGTCCACTTGGGGGAATTCCTGAGGATCCCAAAATCTACATGAATTCCAGGGGCACCCAAGGGATCCCAAAATCCACTCGGGGGAAATTCAGGGACACTCAGATGATCCCAAAATCCTCAGGGATAAATTCCAGGGGACCCAAAAACCAAAAGGGAGAAATCCAGGGGAACCCAAAAACCAAAAGGGAGAAATCCAAGGGATCCCAAAATCCACACGGAGAAGTTCCAGGTGATCCCAAAATCCACATGGGGAAATTCCTGAGGATCCCAAAATCTACATGAATTCCAGGGGCACCCAAGGGATCCCAAAATCCACACAGAGGAAATCCTGGGGATCCCAAAATCCACATGGATAAATTCCAAGTGATCACAAAATCCCCAAGTGGGAATTCCCAGGGATCCCAAAATCCACATGGATGAATTCAAGGCGACCCCAAAATCCACACGGGGGAATTTCAGGGATCCCAAAATCCACACGGAAAAATTCCAGGGACACTCAGACGATCCCAAAATCCTCCGGGATAAATTCCAGGTGATCCCAAAACCCACACACGGGAATTCCAGCGACACCCCAGCCCCTCCCCATCCCAGCCCGGTTTGGGGATTGATTTTCCAGTGGTTTTTGGGGTTTTTTTGGGGGAATTCGGAGCCTTTTCCCCCTCCCTCCTTTCCCTGAATCCCAGCCGGATTCTCCGCGCCGCCGCTTCCCGCGGGAGGCCGGGATGAAAGGCCGGGAATCGGAGTGCGAGGCTTTGAAATTCCATTTTTTTTTTCATCTTTATTTTCTTTTCCCCCTGATCTTTGCCGAGCTCCCTCCGCCTCTGGATCCTTTCATCCCCTCCCGCTGTTTCCCGTGTTTGCTCATTCCAAAGGATTTTTATTTATTTTATTTTATTATTTTTTTTTTTATTCCTAATATTGCTTTAACAAATTGCTCCGTGGGGTTTCGGTGGATTCTGGCAGCTGGAATCAATCCCTCTCCAGGCAGGATGGGAAAATCAACCTCCAAACCGCACCAGGAGGGCACAAAATATCCCCAAACCTGCAGGATTTGGGGAATATTTTAGGGATGGAGGGG